ATCAACCAACGTAGCACAGAGCAACGAAGATCCAGCTTTTAGAAGATCCTCTGCATTATCAGCTAAAAACCTACGGTGTGGACGCAATCTCAGTGTAGTTTCACCATTGCCGCCACTCCAGGTACCTCCATTTTATCGGCATTAGCCAGTATGAGTTTCAATCAAACCCACAGATTCAGGCTTGGATACAACTGTTGCGACGTATAATATTTTGCCACGGCATTCCTGTGGAAGTGCTGTTTGGCAGGGCCCGGGGGAAGTCGAATTGAGGAGTAGAGAGAGTAGGAGTGGAGTGTTATTGAAGGAAGGAGATCGAGACTGTTCCAGAATCCCTCGGGATAGCCAAAAAATGTGCAAGTTATGTTTTGAGTTTGGTAGAAGTTAGATTTACATTTATGCTTATAATTTTTCATCCACAGCAAATCGTGTATTCGTGTAAACTAGCAGAATGGATAGGAACATGCAATTGACCCTCGAACTATGTTTGAATAAAACTTTGAAAAAACACAAACATCTCTATATCAACCGACTCCCCGAGGTAGAACCTTCGAAAAAGTCTACAACACCTTTTTGAAAGGTAGAGGTTCCAGTAGCAGTTAAAATCCAGGTCAAAGCATAACGTTCAAGCAAAGGTGTTCTTGAAAGATGTCGTGTTACTCAGGGGACCCAGTGATGACATAGTACAACAGCAATGCACGAAAGTCATGTTGATGGAAAACAAACATATCGTTTCAAGTGTYGAGTTCCATAAAAATTGGGATCATTTGATTGTTCTGTTCATTTGACTGTGGAGTTTGTTTCCTGGTTCAAAGGTTAGTGAATTTGAACATATAGGTGTTGATGCCTGTTAAACACAAGCTGACGGTGCCTCAACTTTCTCCTGATCAAACTTTAAGTGCCCTGCTGATTCAGAAGATTTTTGAAGATAAAACGATTTATGCGATTTTTGTGCCTCAATTACAACTGTACTGAGTTACATTTTCAAAATTGAAAAGTATSGGCTCGCTTTTATAGAGACTGCCCAGAAGTGGAAGGTCGGGAAGAAGTTAATGTTATAAARACATCCCAGTGTAACACTGTCCAAAAAATTGCAATACTGATGCTGCATGCAAAACAAAAAGAAGCACAAGTCCCAATTAACAATAACAGTTCAGTTCAGAACTAAACTAGCTGGACCATGGCGAGCAGCAGGAATGTATGTAATGCGGAATAAACCTCGGTGTAAGAACCCACAATTGACATCACAATAACCAAATGAAAGCCCGTATTGAAAATAGAATGATCGAAACAATAGAATGAACGGCAGTTCTTACACTGAGGAGCAACGAGGTAAACCCCTAACTTCATTCGTGCTATGGACATCAATGTTAAAATCAACTCGATGGTTGTGTCGTGAGGCGYGCTTTTCAYAATATCACATGMATTTTAGCCTTGAGAGCTGCAACGCASGCTASGGCACTGTAACTGTTGAAAACACTTTSGCACTAACTACTGAATTTGTAGGTCTAATGCATTTTCAATTTTTTTATTCATAATTCTGAAATATTGAGACAAACGAGGAAAAGTGGCGTGATGAATGATTAGTACTATCACTGTACTGTGCCTTAGTTAGATCTGTTATTGGATATGGGGCACCAGTTCATGCTCATCTTCCTAAGTTCTTGTTTGCTAGCATAGTAAAGGTGCAAAAACGTGCGCTAGATATAATTGATCCGGGATATAAATATGAAGACTCATCCGTCACTGGAAGAACGAAGAGGGGTTGAGGCTGGGAACTGCTCTATTTTTTTTTTTTTTTCTCATTCATTATTCATAATTTGTTAATTTGCATGAAACATTTCACTTTATGTATTTCACACATGAAATATTCTTTTCCTCACTTCTTTTGTTGGCGTCATAGGGATTTTTCTCATTCGGTACGTATGTTTAATTTACGAATAGCTTTACTTTTATTTGGTATTAATGATCTGCCTATCTCCATTTTATTTTGTAGAACATTATGCCTTTCCCTAAATGGTGGAATCAACCTTCTCAGACCTCTAACATTTCTGATGGACCAACTATAAGCGGACAAGACGTTCCACCCTCTTCACCACCACCACCACCTTGAGATAACACAGGCCTTCCAGACAGCATACTGTAGTTGCAACCATCGTTAACAGAGTAGCTGCACAGATAACAAAACAGTTAACTGACAAAAACAAGAGCCAAGTAGAAGAGGACAATTTCATCCAAGAGTTGGGGATGACATTGTCCCCAGAGGAGGAGTGACGACTATCCCGGCATGCATTGCGATTGATACTATATTATCAAAAATTTTGGGACGTCATCATTGATTTTAGGCGTTGAACAGTGAAGCAAGATGGCGTCCTTCAGAACGGTTTCTCG